AGTTAACCGACTTCTATGCTGAACTTATCTAGTCAGATTGACTACCATGACCGAGCGGGTTAAAGTTCGAAAATATTCTTTGTTGGTAAGTTACTCCACAACAAACTTAGAAACAACCAAGAATAATGCTAGGTAACCGCATTGTAGGAAACTTACCAGTCATAGAATATGTTTGTGGGGTGCATGAAAAATATGTGCATCTTTTACAATTTCTACCTAACCATAGCTCATATGATCGCGCGCTCACACGGGGCGGATACATTAAAGATGATCTAGATATTATTCCAGACTAAAATTCAGATCCTCTAAATCGAGTTCCTTTGCGAAGTTTGAGATAATTTATGCCCAAAGAAGACCACATTTTATCTCTCTTCGCTTCCTTTTCGGTATGAACTTAACTTTATCAAGTGAAACTCTATATCGTAAAATATCTAGCCCTTTTTTTTGTGGCCTTTAGGCAAATATCTAGCTAGCTTCTAGGCGTTTGCACCACCCCAATTGCCTCATTCTTTCGTGACATCCAAAGATAAAAGGAGCAAAGTTCTCTAATTTTGTTGCTAAGCCCGTAGACTTCTGGATAAACAAGAAACAAAACCCCCCAAAAAGGGGAGGAAAATACAATGGGAAAGAAGGAAAATGCCTAAGTCATGTGTCCCAAAGCATTGCAGGCACAAAAGCACACCGTGTGAGGGACGATAGCGTGCGAGCACAGGCAAATAACCAAATCTGAGGCGGTGCTCGATACAATAGCCAGCTGTGGCTTCTTCTCAAGTCAGATACCTCTATATATACAGCCTCACTCTCGTTTTCCTGAGATCGCTTTCAAACCCTTTACAGAAAAAGACTCTCGAGTTCTTTTGATCAAGCTTTAGTCGCTGCAAATTTAACATTATCGCATGGATTAGCTCGGAAGATTGGTGTTTCCCAAGTTGAGATCTTCATCGCCGACCGCCGGTATGTCGTTTCTATCCTATCAATCTCTCTATCTCCTTGTTCTTCTTATATCTAAATGATGATTGGAACGAGGGAACGCAGCTCGGTGTTTGGACAAATCTTTTTAAGCGAATTAACGTTTTGAACTCCATATGTTACGATCTGCTGAGTTTTGTATATTCTCATTTCTCACCTATTTTGTCGTGTATCCTAGATGAAAAGTAGTTTTTCATTGGTCGATAAGAACTTCATTTGCTTGCATTTTTATTTATTGCCAAGAGAATGTATTTTTTCTAATGGAGATTGGTGAATTATAATACATGGCCGTACAAAATTCCTCGGAAAAAAATGCCTATGGAATAAAGTAATGGCTATTAGATCATATAATTTATCATTTTTGGTTTGACAGGTGAGTCCCAGTCCCAGAAGGAAAGTCTGAACAGCATGTCTAGCAAGTCAAGCAGCGTCAATCAAGAGTACACACAAGCTTTGAGGACCAAGTCCTACGAGGATATGTGTACTAAAGTCCAATCCCAGATTGGAAGAACAAGCATCCGCAGATCGCTCTCCGCACCTTCTCCGTCTACCAACGCCCATTGCATGGTGCACCTCTCAGAATCGCTCCTCGAGCCCGGGCGGGAAACCCTCACGAAAATGATCAAGACCTTAAATTTCCATCGACTTCTCGTCGACTACTTCCAGGCGAGCTCGGAAGCATGTGACGTGTGTGAGTTGCTCCTCCGGGGGATCCATCAGACCCGCACCAATTACCAAAGGATGAGAAGGGCAATCAAGTTGGCAAAATTGGTATATGAAGGCACAAGTCATGCAGAAGGGCAGAGCCGTCTGTTATGCCAAGAGCTGTCCGCGTTCGCCTTCCTGACAAACCCCTTATCGGCAATCGCCCGGGTCAAGTTGCCGGGCATGCATGATAATCGCGTGGCATTGTTTCGTGAGTTGATGTCCAAGCGCAAGCAGATGCGGAGGAGAATGAAGCTGGCTAGGGCTTGCAAGAGGGTCCGAGGGCTCGGGCTGATTGTTTCGTCCGGCCTGATCTCAGCCACTTCGCTGGTGCTGACAAGCTGCAGAATTGGGATGTGCAATAGGAAGTTGAAGTCCATTAGGCCATCTTCATATCGTGAGAAAAGCTCATCAACTGAAGGAGTTAGCGCACAACTCGACGTCGCAGCGAAAGGGGTGTTCATACTGATCAATGACATGGACACTGTAAGCAGGTGGGCCAGAAGATTGCACGACGAGGTCGAGCATGGAAGATCGAGGGCCAGGATGGCGGTGAGGAACTACACGAAGAAGGGCGAGATCGTGAGGGAGGTTGTGAAGGAGTTTGATGTGCACATCACCTGCTTCTTGGAGCAGCTAGAGGAGCTCGAAGAGCATATATACTTGTGCCTTCTCACCATGAACAGGTCAAGAAGGTTGGTTGTGGAAGAGATCTTGATCTCTCAGTCCATGAGCTGAATCAAAGTGGTCAATGATCAATTTATCTGACAAGTAATTGCTTGTCAAATTAGACCTTTCTGTGGTAGCTGCAATCTAACAGTAATATTGGCACCCAAATAAGCTTCAATTTTATCCTCCGTAATTAACTATTATCTCGATATTACTTGATGTGATCAAGTTCAGTTGAATTTGCTTTTTTCCATCCTTCAGTTTACCTTTTTTCCCTTGATTATGATTCATGGGTTATTAGGTTAATGGCACATCGATAATAAGGTTTAGGATTATACGATGTAATAAGGAAAATCACGAGATGATAAGGAGAGATTAGGTTGACAAATGCTCAACATAACGAAAAATTAAAATTTTGCTAAAACACTTGATTTCTAATTGGCAGGAGAACACTCTATCGGATGTTAACTTGATAGTTACCATCAGGATACTTCAATAATTTGTGGGTCTCATCTATAAATAGGAGTCATGCAATCAAATAATGTCGTAAGTATATATGGTCATATCGTTCAATATATGAGTAAGATTTAGTAAAATCTCACATTGGCCAATTTTTATCCGAGGTTGGCCAAACAAGAAAACTTTCTATCCGAAATTTAATATATGTCCCCTATATTTATTCCAAAATTGATTCTGATTATTTTCTCCAACAAAATAGATTTGTAGCTGGAAGCCAAAAATTCTTCACAGGAAGTTCCTTTGACGAATTGTTTTTATTTGTTGTAGGACAAAACACATTACCGACGAGTTTGTTTGTAGCTATAACTTTGGCAATAGCGGTTGCGCAACTTCCTTACTACAAGATCAAATTTTGTCACTAGAAGGTCGCATGTGCTCGACAATTGGCAATGAAACGCATGAATTTCGTCGTTAAAGGTTGAATGTATCCAACCTTTTCCTTGAAAACTCAAACTTTTAGCGATGAATTTCAAAGTGTTTCATAGATGAAATTCCAACGTTTTAGCAACAAAACTCATAATTTGGTCGTTTGATGGTTCGATGTTCTTTCGTTTCGTTGCTAGAAGGTAGAATGTTGGTGATGGCTTTCGGTGGTCAACCTCATAATGGTGCTCGACCGGTGGTGTGATCAACCTCGTTCTGGTGCTCAGCTGATGGTGGTGGCAGTGGTGGTGGAGTTGGAACTCTTGAGTGTTCCGAGCGAGATCAAGAAAAATAACTTGTCGCTAGATATCCAAATTGTTTGTCGTGAAAAATAATGTTTTAGCGACACAAAATTATGAGTGTTTCACGTTCAATCCTTTTTTTTTCTTGCCAAACCACCAAGTTTCATCCTTAATAAAGTTGTATGTATGAAAATCATGCTTATATTTCTCCTACATTCTTAGGTACGCTCCTAATATTACATGTTTCCATTGTCATCTAAGTAGCCAGTCTGAATGAGGAAGATGAAAACGATGTAAGGCACACGCATAAGGCTTTTAGCACCAAAGGGAAAAGGAAAGAAAGAAAATGAATAAAATTAAGGAAGGAAAAAGAGACGAAGCATCTAATTCTAAATATATTATCTTGACGAGCATCCTACACATGATGTAAATATTTGACGCAAATTCACGTATTAGGTGCATTGGGCGCAAAATTATTTCAAATCTAAGTTGATGACTTTTGGGTTGAATTTATCCACTCAAACTGATTACCATAATCGAGCAAGTTAAAGTAGGAAAATGTCCTCTATTGTTAAGTTAATCCGCAACAAACTTAGAACCAAACCAAGAACAATCCTGGATAACCTGGTCGTAGGAAAACTTACCAGTAATAGAATATATTCGTGGGGCACGCGAAAAGAAATCACGTGCATCCCTTGCCGTTTCTACCTAATCATAGGTCGTATGATTGCGCGCTCATTGGGGCGGATCACATTATTTCTGCATCACATACGATTAAAGATGATACAGATACTATTCCTGATTAGGATTCAGATCCTCTAGATTGAATTCCTCCACAAAGTTGAGATAATCCAATGCCCTTAGTGACCACAATTATCTCTCTTCTCTTCCTTCACCGTGTGAATATAATTCTATTAAGTGAACCTCTCTTAGGTAAATTATCTAGCCCCTTCTTTGTAGCCATAAGGCAAATATCCAGTTAGTTTCTAGGCGTTTGTAAGCAAATAAAATAAAATAAAATAATATAAAGACTAAATAAGAAATTAAAAAGTTAACAAATTTTAAAAAAATATTTTGATCAAAACAATATGAAGACAATCAACCCCGCGTATCGGTATCAATCACCGTCAATTAAACCTAAGCCGTGGGTTTCGAAGCATTGCACGTTTCGATCAAATAATAATAATAATAATGATAATAAAATCATGGGAAGTAGAAAAACACACCGTGTGAGGGACGATAGCGTGCTAGCAAAGACAAAATAACCAAATTTGAGGCGGTGCTCGATACAATGGCCAAACCGTGGCTTCTTCGGTTGCTTCTTGATTAATTGCTTCTTCTTACAAGTCAGAGACCTCTACATATACAGCCCCCACTCTCGTGTTCCTGAGATCTCTTTCCAACCCTTTGCAAGGAAAAAGACTGATAACTTCCTTGATCAAGCTTTAGTCTCTGCAATTTCGACAGTATCGCATGGCTCCGCTCATGAAGTTGGTGTTTCTCAAGTTCTGATCTTCGTTTCTGACACCCGGTATGCCATTTCTGTTGTTTTCTTTGTTGATCTGATTCGTGTTGAACTCTTATATGTTTACGAACTCTTGAGTTTTGTATACTCTCATTTCTCTCATGTTTCGTCGCAGATCCTACATGAAAAGCAGTTTCCATTAGTTGATAAGAACTTTGGTTGGTTGCAATTTTAGCTCTTGCCAAGCAAATGTATCTTTCGTAATGGTGATCGGAGGTTTACAGTACATGGCCGTAAAAGATTCCTTGAAAAAGGAATGCCCAATGAATTAAGAAATGGTTATGAGATCATATAATATATTTTTTTTGGTTTGACAGGCGAGTCCCAGAAGGAACGTCTAAACAGCCTGTCTAACAAGTCGAGCATCGTCAATAGAGAGTATACACAAGCTTTCAGGACCAAGTCCTACGCGGAACTGTGTACTAAAGTCCAATCCCAGATTGGAAGAACAAGCATTGATAGGTCACTCTCATCGTCTTCTCTGTCTGACACTGCCCATTGCATGGTGCGCCTCTCGGAATCGCTCCTTGAACCGGGACGGGAAACTCTCGAGAACATGATCATGACTTTGAATATCCATCATCTTCTTCTCGACTACTTCCAGGCGAGCTCGGACGCCTGTGACGTGTGTGAGTTGCTCCTCCGGGGGATCCACCAGACTCGCGCCAATTACCATAGTATCGGAAGGGCAATCAAGTTGGCAGAAATGGTATTTGAAGATGCCAGTCATGTGGAAGAGCAGAACCATCTCATATGCCGAGAGCTCTCTGCGTTTGCCTCGCTGACAAACCCTTTATCAGCGATCACCTGGGTCCAGTTCCAGGGCATGCACGGCAATTACATGGCATTGTTTCATGAGTTGACGACCAACCACAAGAAGATGCGGAGGAGAATGAAGCTGGCTGGGCCTTGCAAGAGGGTCGGAGGGCTTGGGTTGATTGTTTCGTACAGTGCAATCACAGCCGCCACGCTGGTGCTGGCAATTCACAGCGTTGTTGGCATCTTGGCAGTGCTGGGGCTGGCGGCAAGCTGCTGTATCACGATGTGCAAAAGGAAGGGGAAGTCCATTAGGTCATCATCATATGTAGAGAAAAGCTCATTGACAGAAGGAGTTTGTGAACCGCTAGATGTTGCGGCGAAAGGGGTGTTCATACTGATCAACGACTTGGACACTGTAAGCAGGTTGGCCTGGAGATTGCACGACGAGGTCGAGCATGGCAGATGGAGGGCGGGGATGGCGGTGAGGAATTACACGAGGATGGGTGAGATTATGTGGGAGGTTGTGAAGGAGTTTCATGTCCATACTGCCTGTTTCTTGGAGCTGCTAGAGGAGCTTGAAGAGCATATTTACTTGTGCCTTGTCACCATGAACAGGTCAAGAAGGTTGGTTGTGGAAGAGATCTTGATCTCTCACTCCATTAGCTGAATCAATGTGGTTATTCATCAATTTATCTGACAATTAATTGCTTGTCAATTTAGACATTTTTGTGATAGCTGCCAATGGCCTATGCCATTTGAGATGTTTCATGACAAGGGGGCTTCATCAGATGCTTTTACTGTGTGCAATAGCCTCTGGACATTACTTGACGTGATCAAGTTCAGTTGAATTTGCTTTTCATCATCCCCTTCAGCTAACTTTTTCTCCCTTAATTATGACTCATGGGTTATTAGGTTAATGGCGCATTTGTCCTAAGATTCAGAATTTTAAGATATAATAAGGGAAAACCACGAGGACAATCATATATACATATATATTATAGGTATATGTCGACTTTTTTTTTTTGTAATTCTTGACACAGTTAGGAGACATTAGGTTGAGAAATGCTGGACATAATGAAATTTGCGTTTTACTAAAAAGCTTGATTTCTAATTGGCAAGAGAACAGTCCGTTGGATGTTAATTTAATAATTAAAATCAGGATATATTAATAATTTGTGGGTCCCTTATATAAAAGATAAGTCTTGCAATCAAATAATGTGGTAACTATATAGTCAGATTCTCTCGTTTCATTGCTAGAACGTTAAATATATTCACAAGAAGGTTGAATTTCGTTTGTTGCTAGAAAGTTGAGTTTTCTCGTGCTGGATTCGTCGCTAGAAGGTATACACAACAACAAACCGTCATCTAGTCAACCATCCATCTTCTGATAGTATTCCACAGAAAATACAGCATGCACAACCCAAATTTCTAAGTAGTTTCCCATTCATCCTATAAGCACTGATAACTTCAGATTCATACAAAACACATCAAATCCAATATCACAAACTTCCAAATCGTTTTGTGTAATAACACATACGAATAAGTAGAAATTCCTAGAAGTTGACAGTAAAAAGTCCTGCTCATACTCATGAAATAACCAAAAGCTGCTCGATGACTCCCACGCGTCATCCGCAGCATCCAGCAGCAACCCTCATCTACCTGGACAAATAAATTTTAGGAAATATATACTATGCGCTTAAGTAATTAGATTAATTTCCAAAATGAGAAACCAACTCCTTACTAGTCCAATCCGTAGTTCTCTCTCTATTAGAAAGTCCAACTCAAAAATTTAAATTGATAGGTGGACGCTTGAAAAAGGGATAATACTAGCTTTGATTTCTAATTAGAATGTCCAACCAAAAAGCTTAAATTGATAAGACCCGTTATCAAGCATCGTAAGATAATACTTCAACACTCCCCATCTCCATATTCATCAAATCCATCTTTCCCATCACGTGTAGATCTGTCTCGCCTTTTTCTTCACTGGCAATAGGGGACAATTCATCTAGACCTCGCACTCCAAAATCCTGACAGGAGTTTGCAAGTTTCCCTATAAGGCTCTGCATCTTCTTCTGCCTAACCTCTTATTTATTTAACTTATCCAATAACATCTACTCATTAGACGTCCAACCCCAACTTCACCCACCAGCAGAACTAGCTTCCTTGGACTTCTCGGAAGGCTTCGGTTCCTTTAACCCTAAATCCTCTATTTACCAACCCAGTTCCATCCAATAGTTTCTTTGCCTCGTAATGTATTTCAGGAAGCAACTCCCCTCGGGAAATAGGTCTTTTAACAATCCGTGCAACCAATCAAATGTTTTTTAGACCAGTTGGAGAATAACATGCGTCAACTTAATGACAGGAGTTAGCAACGAACACGTCACGTTGGGCATCTCTTAAGCATCTTTCGAAGTTGTCATCCACAATTATCAGAGGTTCGTCATTTGGCTATTCTATTGAAGCAGAAGGCAAATCCTATGCCCATCCGTGCGTCATTGTTTCAAACAAGTGTGAGTGCACATCGTGCAGTTTCCAATATCACCTTCTCTGTGCAGAAGAGATTTGTTATATAATAGGCGATGCGGCGGAAGCAGATCGTAATTTTACAACTAAGTCCGGAGTTGTAAAAATTTAGAGAAATAAAATGAGGAACAATAAAAGGACACGAGAAATTTACGTGATTCGGTTCGAACGTCAGAACCTACGTCCACGAGGAAAATCGGCAAATAATCCATTAATAAATCAGAGAATTAGAGGGTTACAATCATTCACGCTCAAGTGTTTTTCAGTCCTAGTATATACTCAATATCTACGGTGTTTAATAACTCAACTCAATGGACTCTCTACGCACAAGTCCCTCCGAGCTCAAGCCTCTGTTCTCTTGAGCTCTCGACGTCTCTGGACTTCTCTTCTCTCTTCTTCTCTACGTCCTCTTCGTTCCACCTTTTATAGACGACAGAATGGAGAAACAAGACAAATGGCGCCCTTCTTCAGAAGTCCATGCAATTAATAATGGAATGTGCATAGGACCATCATGCACCGCCATAAGAAAAATTAACATAGCTTCTGCTTTCTTCCTTTCTTCATTTATTAACAAAAGGTAAATGAAGTCCACAAGACAAATCACTGAAGCGGCAGCGGCGCCCTCCAATTTTCATGGGCATGCATGCACATGGTCATGTGCAATTGTGCATGCATTTAATGAGGTGAAGAAAAAATGGTCGTGAGAGATATGGGCTCTTCAACTTTCCACTTTCTTTTACTTGTATAAACCCATGTGCAGAGAATTTGTCAAACTTCATTTATTACTCTCATGCGCAGTCAAAGAAATAGTCCAATTCTCGGTCATTTTGTGCGGTGCATATAATTACTTCGCGTGTGCGAAAAAACAACGGGGTCGAGTCTCATATACAGACTCAAATTCGATATATAATTTAACAAGATTGATCCATCCATAAATAGGATTGGCTTTCTAAACCCGAGTCATCCATACAAAAAATAAACTTTCACCGTGAAAACCATTTACCTACTTGAGGTGGGTATCTTCAATAAGAAAAGAAAAATTGAACGCGCACGATGCTACTAACTATTTATAATTCATGGGATGTGTAATATTTTAATCCATCCCTGATTGGAGGAAACTTTCTACAACCATACCTTTTGATTGATGGATTACAAATTATGTAATCACCCAGTTGTACACTTAACGAAAAATAGATATGGGTATTTTTGTGACCTGCTAATCAAAGTACCAGGTGGGGGAAAACATGCCCTCATGAGATGCAAAACGACATAATACTTTTAGTCCATGCAAGTACTCCAAATATACCACACAACGCTTGCACCGTTATTTCCACTAAAACTTTCAATTTATCAAATCTTTTCTAGCAACTGACAAGCTTAGATATTATAATTGTTCTAACTCCGTTACAAACAATATAGATCATATGCATAATTTCACTTAATTTAGGTATACTTTCTGATATTCCTAACTGTTCATGCATCTAACAGCAAGGGAGGAAATGTTTTTAGATATATAGTAACATCCTGGTTTTCGATTACATGCTATCGGGAGAAAGTGGATAGGAAGTGCGTTAATACAAGTGAGTTAGAAATAACCAATAAATTTAAGCAAAGCGAAGATTGGGTATTATTACAGTTAAAGTACACGGGTTGAAGACATCCTGATTGAGGTCCGACGCGCTCGTATCGGACCCGAACCTGAATGCCAAAGGATCCGTTATATCCGCCTTGATATATAGATGCGATAGCCAAAAAGGTTAGGCTTTAGTTGAGTCAAATGGTGCAAACCCTAGCCACAATGTTGGATTCCTTTATTTATTTTATGGGTCCTCCGAGTTTATAGTTGAGTGGCTGTAAATAAGTGTTTGTCATCAATATGAATGTCATTATCTTAAAAAATATATATATAAGGTCAACGGCTGGTCAGTGGTCAAAAGGCAATGACACGTGGCAGCACGTGGCACTGGCGTGGAGGACGACGCAGATGATGACGTGGCAAACGCGTGATGATGACCACGTGCACGGCATGCTGGCGCGTGGATCTCACGCGCAATCGCTTTGGGTGGCGCGTGAGGGCGCGTGAGAAGGTTTCCAGCGACTTTGTTTGCTGGGTTGGACTTGCCGGAGGATGAGGAACCTGTTTGTGGCGGCGGTTGTTGACAATAGCCAACTAATGACTTCGAATAGGGCACTTACAGACGACGGCGTCGGTGGGTCTGTGGCGCGACGGCACGTGGTAGCGCGTGCGGCGGCTACCGGAGTCCGTTGATGACGAAATTTTCAGGGTCCGATTCGTCCGAGCGCAGTGAGTTTGATGATGGTGTTTGTTTTTCGAAATAAGCAACAATATTAGTTGAACAGCAATCAAGAGCGGCGGTTTGGTGATGAATGGATACCGGCGCGGCTGTGGCAACGTTGCTATAACACCATATAACTCAATCATCGCTTCCTTAGATAGCAGCGTCTCTAATACCAAGTTAAGAATAAGCGGAAAAGTGAATTGGAGAATTTTTGTATTTCCCTGTACATATTACTGATGATACATGAGCCTATTTATAGGCTATTCTAGATGACTATCTAAAGCAATAAAATATTACAATATCAAATACAATCAATTAGAATCAATCTAGGAAGATAATAATATCTCTAGAAGATAACAAATCAATTTAGGAGGATAACAATATCTCTGGAAGATAACAACATCTCTAACAATTACACGGGTCGAGAATCTGTCTATGTCAATAGGCTAATGATGAGTTATTTCGTATATGAAAGAGGAATTAAACGTGAGAACCAAGATTAACTGAGTGACTACCCACAGCAGAATTTAAAAGAAGAGGAAACGACAGAGGTGTTCCACGAGAGCATTGCAGAATAAGAAAACCCTAAGCGTTTTTTCTTTTTTTGGTCGAAACCCTAAGCATTTTCACTTACTAGAATAATTTTATCTCTTTCTCTTCTCTTCTTCTTTTTCTACTTTCTGCCACAAATGATACATCCTTTTATAGAGATTTTATACAGGCTGCTTTAGCAGTATGTATCGCACTATAACGTATGGTAGGGCATTGTTCATACAATGCTTCACGATAGCGACCCGGCAGTGGGCTGAAAGTTTTCTTTAATTTGTTCAGGGAGTCTAGTAAAACAATTTACGCATGCGATCTACTGAGTTTTGTTCAACACTTTAATCATACTCAAAATTTTTCCACCGAGTTTCATCCATTTTATTTTTGGCCAAACCAACAAGTTTTATCCTTAAAAAACTTGGTATGTATA